GCTCTTACGGCCGCGCGTGCGCGACTCCTGCGGGCCGAGCGCGCGAGAAGCGAGAGACCGCGCTGAGGGCCGCGGTCCCGGTGTGCTTGTTAAACAACCCGAAAAGTCGGGCCTTGGGGCTCCTCATGTGGATCCTCGGCTGCCCCCACGCAGTCCGTACAAGGTAGCCCTGCCCTCAGAAATATGGGCATTTTCCTTATATCCTAAAGAAGTAAAGTGTAGTTGAACAACGTATGTGTTTGCGTTTCAGGAAGTGGTTGCTTTTTAGGAAGGCAACAGTGTGGAATGGGAGAGATGAGAAAACTTTCTTTTGCACCATATCTTTTGTAGCTTTTGAATTTTGCCATATATGGCAACCTTGCCTGTTTAAAATAAACACTACCAAAGAACTTTAAAATTGCATTTGTTGGAATACTTTTTTGGGCTGTGCTGAGTATTGAACCCAAGGTCTTGCCCTAACCTACATCCCCAACCTTTTTTTTTTTTTTTTTGCTGGGGGTGTGTGTGTCTCACTGATTTGCCTATTCCTGGTTGGAAGTTGTGACCATCCTGCTTTGGCCGCCAGAGTGCTGGGATTACAGGTATGCACCATCTTGCCAGGTTTAAAAATATATATTAATTTTAAAATATGCATGCACACATAAATGCCATCAACACAGATAATTAAAGATAGTCACAGTGGCAAGTCAAACATGAAAATACACACTCCTCCCTTCCTACCTTGTGCCCAGCTAGGTTACTGGCATTTGAGGCCATTACGTAACACATCTGTGTTACCTACCTTTCTGTTTCTGTGACAAAACACCTGAGAATAAACAAAGAGGAAAGGTTTATTTTGGCTAATAGTTTCAGAGGTTTCAGCCAATGGTCACTGGGGCCATTACCATTGGGGACAAAGAACATCATAGCAACAGGGTGTGGGAGAGGGGCTGCCCACATCATGACAGCTAGAAAACAGATGGGAAGAGGCCATAGTCCCCAAATCCCCTTGAAAGGTGTACCTCTGTGACTTCCTCCTGCTAGATCCCACCACCTATCAACAGCACCAGAAGCTGGAGACCTAACCTGTGACACACGGCACTTGGGGACACTCCAGCTCGACTGTAGCACCCTCTGTTCATTATAAGATTAGCCATAGGATCCCTAAAATAAACAAAATTAGGACAATTTTCCTAATTAAAAAATGATGTATGATTAGTGAAATATTGTCTTTTGAGCCCCAGTGTCATGGATGATCTTTCTATACAGATAAAAATCATTTACTTAGAAATGACAATAATAATAGTTAACATCTATCGAACTTTTACCATAGGCCTCGTTGAACACTGCTGCGGGTTTGGTATGCATTCTTTTAATCTTCAAAGTTTTCCTGTTTTACAATGAAAAACATGTAGGAAGTTTCTTCAGTTTATCCCTAACAACACACCGACTGCAGAAAGCTACAGACAGGCTGGATTTGAATTCACATCTGACATTATAAAACCTCTTTTTAACCTCTACATATTCCTTTTAAAATTACAATGGAAACCCATGCTCCATGACTTTCCTAATTCTGTTTTCACAAACTGAGAGGAATCTAAAGATTAACAACTAGATGATATTTGAGGAAAGAGTAATAAAGTGTTCCGTGTCTATGTTTTAACATGTTTCAGCTTGTGCAGTGTGTGAGATGTTTGTCTTGTGCATAACTAATGGTCTTAACCAATGTTGATAAAGTTTTATTGGAAAATAGCCACATTCATTTACTTATGTAAATGCTCACTGAGGAGGCCAATTAGGCCTCATACTTCCCATCTGGCCTCCCATAAGGATGAGTAATCCTTTACTCTAGGATGCTGTTCTTTTTAAGAGATATTTTCATTAGTCCATGTTCCAGTATGTAATGGTTACATTAATTGTGGGGAGTTGGTACTTTTTGTTTGTTTTTTGTAAAACCAGTCAGTCTTGTGCTTGAGAGGCGGGTGGCAGCACCACTGAGCTAAATCCCCAGCCCGGAAGTTGGTATGTGTACATAATACATCTTAATTTTTATTTCTTCTTCCCCTTGCCTCCTTCCTTTTCTCCATTTCTAGATCCCCTTCCTATTTGCAAAAGACCTACCTTCTCTTTTCTATTGTCTATTTTTTATTTTGCTCTTTAAATTATACTTCGGGTTTCTCATATAAGAGAAGCCATGCAGTGTGTAAGTTTGTGTGTCTGATTTATTTCTCAACATTGAAGTCTCAAGGTGGATCCATTTTCCTACAAATGACTCAAGTTTTATCCTTTTTTATGACAGAGTAGTACTCCATTGTGCATAAATACCATATTTCCTCTATCCATGCATCTATTGATTATGACACTTTTCTTAACAAAAAATATTCCAGGGAAGAGAGAAACCAATAACTGATGATACTTCGCCAAAATTAAGCAATTATAATTACATGCTTGTGATATCATATATAGTCATTGGAACTTGGATAATTGCCGTTGTTTTCCTTAGATTTCAAAAAACTGTGTTCTGCTTTTAAAAGTGGTAAGAGCCCTGAAAAAACATGCAGCAGGTTGTGTGAATTTGTAGAAGAGCTTGTGCAGCAAGAGCACTATACCATCCAGGGCAACAGGTGCCACTAATCAAGGGCAGAACTTTTCAGAAAATTGATTCTGAGGGAATACAGATCCTGGTGAGTCCCTCTTTCCCATCATTGTTAGGTCATCTTCTATCCCAAAGCAGTGATGGCTGCTCTCTTGTTGTTAATGGGAAGGTCCTGAGTTCAGGCCTAAGAACATCACCTGCTCTGAGAGACAAAGCTGTAGGTGTGTTTAGGTCCAAGCCAGATGACTCTAAAATTTTGTTCCTTTAAGTTGGGAAGAAGTCTCTAGAAGTTCCTTCACCCAGTTTTTTTTGGGGGGGTGCACGGCAGGCGGCAGAACCACTGAGCCAAATCCCTGGCCCTGTGTTGGCTAGCTTAAAGAACTCATGAAATTGACTGTAGTAAAGAATTCCTAGGAAGCACAGGACTTACAGTAGGAACACAGTGCTTCTAAACAATTACAGTAGGGATAACATTCTTCAGTGTCACTCATAAGTTTAGGCAAAAACTAATTCTAACATAAAAATTAAATTCTGATTATAGAATTTAGGTATTGGCTATACGGATGTTTACATTTCTTTCAAATTTTCTGAATGAAGGTTTTTCTTATCTGCTGGAAAGAATTAGATTCTAATGTGAAGTCTGTCTTCTTTAATTTTCTGAGGAACAAAAGAAAACCTATTTAAAGAAATGTTGAAACTTCTTGTTTCAAAACAACCCTCTTGAAAAAAACAAATCTATCTCAATTAAGATCATTACACACCTGTAATCCTAGATATTCTGGAGGCTGAGGCAGGAGAATTAGCCTGGGAAAATTATAGAAACCCTGTCTGGGATGGGTAAAGATTATAAGAATAATTCAGACAAATGTAAGATGGGGTTCAAAAGCTATAATAATATTTTAAAATAAGTTGTAATTTTATTTTTGTTTTTTGAAGCAAAACCTTTATTGGTACATTGTAGATATACATAATTATATAACATCATAGGGAATTTGTGCCTGTACAGGATATATTTTACTTTTTTTCCCATTCCTCCCTCCCTTCCTCCCGTCTTCCCTTCCATATTTGCAAAAGCTTTGTTTCCATTTTTTACTTCTAGTCTCTTTTTTCTTGTCCCTTCTTTCCTTCCTCCTGTCCACCTCCCTTGTTTTTCTTCTCATTTGAACATTTTCTTCCCATTTCCCAATATCTATTACACATTTTGATCCTTATTTCTACTTTTGGTTTCTCACACCACAGAAACAATGCAGTATTTAAAACCTGTGTGTCACATTTATTTCACTTGATAGTATAGTCTCAAGGTGCTTCCATTTAGCTATAAATGTCTCAAGCTAATTTTATTTTATTTTATTTTATTTTTGGTTTTTTGAGACAGGGTCTCACTATGTAGTTGAGACTGACTTGGAATTCACTATTGTAGCCCAGGCTGGTCTTGAACTCACAGTGATCCTCCTGCCTCAGCCTCCCGAGTGCTGGGATTACAGGTGTGCACCACCATGCCCAGTTTAAGCTCATATTCTTTATGGCAGAATAATACTCCTTTGAATATATTAAAAAAGCCTAAATCATCTCTATTCATTCATTTGGTCATTTGGGCTGTTTCCAAGATTTAGCTATTACAAACTGTACTGCTATAATCATGGGTCTGCATATATTGCTTTTAGGGGGGGTAGCAGGGATGGAACTTGGGACTTTTCACTTGGGAGGCAGGTGGCAGAACCACTGAGCTGCATCCCCAGCCCTATATACTGCTTTGATATAATAGTAATTCTTTTTAATTCTTTCAGAAGATGCCAAGAAGGGGGATAGCTGGATCAAATAGAATCTCTAGTTTTAGTTTTTTGAGGAACATCCACACTGATTTCCACAGTGTTGTTTGCACCAGTCTGCACTCCCACCAATAGTGAAAAGGAGTCTCCTTTCCCCCACAGACCTGCCAGCATTAGTTATTGATCGATTTCTTGATAACAGCCATTCTTTCTGGAGAAAGATGTAATCTGTGTTGTTTTAATTTGCATCTCTCAAATGACTAGTGATGAATTTTTTTTCCATATATATATATCTGTCATTTGTACTTCATTATCTCAGAAGTGTCTATCTCAAATGTCCATTTCTGGATTGGGTCTTTAAATTTGGTGGAATCTGAATTTTAAAATTCTTTATGCATTCTAGATATTAGCCCTTTGTCTAAGGAACAGCTGGCAAAAAATTTTCCCTGCACTGTGGATTGTCTCTGCACTCTTCTGGTGATTTCTTTTACTGTACAAAACTTTTTAGTAACATGAGATCCTAGTTGTTGATTCTTTGTGATATTTCCTGTGAGATAGGGTTTTGTTTATAAAGTCTTTGCCTATACCAATGTCTTCAAGAGTTCTACCTATTGTATCTTCCAGCAGATTTCATATTTCTGTTTTAATATTTAGATCTTTGGTTCGTTTTTATTTTAGTTTAGTGCATGGTGAAAGTTTTGGGTCTTTGTTTCAGTGAAAATGTCTGGTTTCTTTGTCAAAGATAAGGTGGCTGAGTATTTTTGGTACAGGGGATTGAACTCAGGTCTTTGCACTTGCAAGGCAGGCCACTGAACTGCTGAGCTAAATACCCAGCCCTGAGTATTTTTGGAGTTGTTTCTGAATATTCTAATCTGTTCCATTGCTCCTCAGGTCTGTTTTTTCTTTTTTCTAGTATCATGCTGTTTTTTTAATCATAGTAGTTTGTAGTATAATTTCAAGTTAGGGATTGTGGTGCTCCTGCCTTGCTTTTGTTGCTCAGCATTGCTTTTATTATTGTAAGTCTCTTCTGGTTCCAAATTAATTTTAGCATTGTTTTCTCTAATTCTGTGAGATATGCTGTTGGTATATTGGTTGGGATTGCATTAAATCTGTATAACAATTTTGGAAGTATGGCCATTTTCACTATATTGGCTTTTCCTAACCAAGAACAAGGGATATCTTTCCATTTTCTGATATTCTCTTTGTTCTCCGTTTTCAGAGTACTGTGGTTTTCCATGTAAAGGCTTTTTACTTCCTTTATTAGATTGATTCCTAGGTGTTTCATTTTTTAAAAAATGCTATTGTGAAAGGTGTGTGGTTTCCCTAATTTCTCTTTCAGTGAGTTTATTTGTGTACAAGAATGCTATTGATTGTTGACTTTGTATTCATCTACACTACTGGATTTGGTTATTAAAACTAGAAGTCTTTTGGTGGAATTTTGGGGGCCTTGTATGTAGAATATCATGTCATCTGCAAATAATGATTTAACTTCTTCCTTTTCTATCTTTATTTCTTTCTCTTGAAAAATTGCTCTGACTAATGTTTCCAGAACTACATTTAATTAGAGTAGTAACTGTGAACATCCTTATCTTGTTCCTAAATTTAGAGTGAAAGTTTTCAGTTTTTGTCCATCTAGTATGAGGTTTTCTGTTGGTTTGTCATAAATTACTTTTATCAGGTTGAGATAAAGACCATCTATTCCAATTTTCTGCAGAATTTTTATCATGAATTGGTGTTGGACGTTGTCAAATGCTTTTTCTGCATCTATCGAGGTGATTATATATGATCATATGGTTTTTGCACTTGGCTCTGTTAACATGGTGTATTACATTTATTGATTTGTATATCACTTCATTCCTGGGATGAATCCTACTTGGTCTGGTAGGTAACCTTCTTGATTATTTGCTGCATTCTGTTTGCAAGTATCATATTGGGGAATTTTACATCTATGTTCATAGGGAGATTGGCCTGTAGTTCTCTTTTTTGGTTGAACCCTTCTCTGGTTTTGGTATCAGGGTAGTACTTGCTCCCAGGAATGAATTTGGGAGTATTGCTTCCCTTTCAATTTCATTAAAGAGTTTGAGACGTATTGGGGTTTGGACTTCTCTAAATTTCCTGTAGAATTCAGCAATGAATCCATCAGGACCTGGGCTTTTCTTTATTGATAGGTTTTTAATTTCATCTTCAGTTTAATTTGCTGATATGCTTATTTAGAATTTTTATATCTTTTTGATTCAGCTTTGGTAATTCATATGTATCCAAGAATCTGTCCATTTCTTCTGAGTTTTCCATATTATTAGAATATAGTTTCTTGAAGTAGGTATTGATGATCTTCTGGATTTCTGCAGGATGTATTGTGATTTTACACTTTTCATTCCTAATTGCATGGATTTGAGTTTTTTATTTCCTTTTTTTGCTAAAGTTTGCTGAGGGTTTTAATCTTTCAAAGAACCAACTCTTTGATTCATTGATTCTTTGTATAGTTTCTTAGTCTATATTGCATTAATTTCTGCTCTGATCTTTGTAATTTCCTCCCTCATATGAGTTTGGGCTTGACTTGTTATTCTTTTCTAGAAGCTTGAGGTTAAGGGCTAGGTTGTTTATTTGAATCACTCTGTTTTTCTGATATGAGAATTCACTGCTATACATATATATCATAGGACGGCTTTCACTGTATTCTATAAGTTCAGCAGTGTTTTATTGGCATTATCACTTAATTGTAGAAACTGATTTCTTCTTTAATCTCATCTGTGACTCATTGGTTGTTTAGGAGGGTGTTATTTAATTTCCATATGTTTATGTTCTTATGGTTTATTTTGTCATTGATTTCCAATTTCATTGCACCATGCTCTGATAATATGCATGGGATAATTTTAATTCCTTTGCATTTATGTAAGCATGTTCTACGAACTGGCACATGGTCTATTTTAGAGAATGTCCCATGTGCAAGTGAGACTAAGTATATTCTGATATTGTGGGGTGGAACACTCTGTAGATACCTACTAAGTCCATTTGTTCAAAAGTTTGGCTCAGTTGTGATGTTTCTTTGTGGATTTCTTGTTTACTTGATGTATGTATTTGTGACAGTGTGGTATCGAGCTCCTCCATTACAATTGTATTAGTACTTATTTGATTTTTTTCATATTTGTTATAATTTTGGAGTATTTTTTCCATCCTTTGACTTTCAGTCTGTGAATTTCTTTTTTTTAAGAGTAGGAAAACATTACTGAGGTAAAGAAAGCTTCTGTCTAACAGAGACAGAGGGAGACCAGAAAGTGGGTTCCCCTCTCACCCCAGTTTTCAAAGATGTTTTCTACAGCAATGCCATGTGGTGAGGCAGGTACAAAGTAGGACAAAACTGTAAGACCCAATTATTAATTTTTTAAATAAAATGTGTTTCTTATTTGCAGCATATTGTTGGATCTTGCTTCTTAATCCATTCTGCCATTCTGTTTCTTTAGATTGATGAATTTACATTGATGATTATAACTGATATGTATTGACTTATCCTTTTCATATTATTTTCCTATTCCTCTTTATTCCTATTTCCTCTTTATTTTCCCTTCTGTTAAATTGCTTGTTTTGCCTGGTGAATTCATTCTGTTGATGTTCATGGAGTTATAGTCCTTTCTATCTCTTTCTAGAATGTCCTTCACGTTTTGGAATGCTGATGTGATGATCATGAATTTCTTCAGGTGTTCTTTGTCATGGAAGCATCTTATTTCTCCAGATAGTTTTGTGGAGTATATCAATCTGGGTTGGAAGTTGTTTTCTTTTAGGGCTTGAACAATTTCACTCCAAGTTTTCCTTGACTTGAGTGTTTGTATTGAGAAGTCTACTGTTATTCTGAAGGGCTTTCCTTTATAGATGATTTGTTTCTTTTTCTATAACAGTTTTTAATATTCTTTTCTTGTATTGAAATTCTGGAATCTTGACTACTGTGTGCCTTGGTGTAGATTTTTTTCTTTTTGATCATGAGTAACTGGAGTTGTATATGTCTCACATATGTATGTCAAATTCTTTTTCCCTACTTGGGAAGTTTTCTGCCGTTAGTTCTGTGAATGTTTTTTTAAGACACTTGCACTATTGCCTGCTTTTTCATTGACTCTTATCAATCTTATGTTATTCTTCTTTGCATCATCTAGCAGCTATTGGATTGATGTTTCATGATCCCTTGCTATTTTTAAAGAGATCTGTCTTTTCATAATCACTAACTGCCACCTTGTCTCCTGTCTTATATGTGATATTCTGTCCTCATATTGGCTCATTCTGCTGTGTATACTTGCAGTGGAATTTTTGATCTCCTGGATATTTGTTTGAATCTGTTTCATGGATTCTGTTTATTTTTTATGTCAGACATTCTTGTTGTCCATCATTTCCCTAAGCTTCTCTATTTTTAAAACTTGTATCTGCTCTGGAATCACTAATCATGTCTTTCATTATGGTCATCATCTTTTTTGGGAGGGAGGGGTTCTGGAGATTAAATTTGGGTCTTTGCACTTATGAGGCAGGTTGTGGCACCCCTGAGCTAAAATCCCTGGTGCTATCATCTTTGTAATTACTTGAAAAACTATTTCTGATTTAATTTTTTCCAGAGCCTCATTCATCTGCTTTGTTACTTCATCACCACTTCAGAGAGTCCAGGTAAGTGAGTTTCATATTTCTTTCTTTTCTTTTCTTTCTTTCTTTCTTTTTTATTTATTTATTTTTTGGGGGAGACTGGTGATTGAACCTGGGACCTTGCACTTCTAAGGCAGGCAGCAGCACCACTGAGCTAAGTCCCTGGCCTTCTTTCTTTCTTTTTGAGAACTGTTACTTTTAATAAGTAGCCAAAAAGCTTAAGAATGTAAAAGTACAAGGGCCGGGGATTTAGGTACTGTGCCTGCCTTGCAAGCACAAGGACCTGAATGTAAGAGTACATATTTTTTAAAATTTCAAATTGTTCTATCTATTGCTCCCTGAGTTTGCCATTGGTGAGCTGGAAGTTTGTATCTTGCTTAAGTGTCTTATCATTTTCTATAGATATACTTTTTAGTTTAATTCCTGGATTGATGTTTTTAAATTCCATATGGAAAGTAGCTTTATAGTTAGTATTTAGAACTATTAGAAAATGAGCCTGTTGCAAGATCCTACCTCTTCAATTTATAGAGGATGAGACGTTTCTGCCTATTTGGCTTATCCCTTGGTTCTTTGGCACTGGCCTATAGTATTGTTTATGACCCTTGGACAATCTCAGTCTGGGTGTTCAAAGACAAACAAATGATTAGAACAATTACATCACCTTGGGTATAATAGTACAATCAGCAATAACAATAGCATCACCTTAGATAATGACAAACTGTGGTAACTGTTGATTTGCCACCTTTAACCATATGAACTGTATTTGTGGTTATATAACAAAATCTAAAATGAACCAGAAAATTGTATACAATAAACATGCCCTCAGAATGGTGATTTTACCGTCAGGGGAGAAAATTTAAAAGCGGTTGAGGGAATAAACAGAAAAGAAGAAAGAGAAGGAGAAGAGATTAGAAATAGGGCTGGAGTACAAAGGAAAATTATGCAAACTTTGGGGAAATGGTGATTAAAAAAAACAATATCAGAATATGAAAAGGAAAAAAGTCTACTTCAAGGCACATTTCTGCTGTCACTGGTAGAGAAATTGGGCACAGAGCCCAGATCCATGTTGATTAATCCCAACAAGCTAGTCATAGTACTACTGTACCTAGTATTAGCTCCTGTGAGCTATATTTACTTATGTAAATATTTTATTTGTGTAAGACTGATGTCTTTATAACAAATAATTTTAAAAATGTAGAGAACTTCAAAGAGGAAAAAACCATCGTATATCCCATTCATTATTAACTTTAGGTGATGATTAATTCTAGATTATGAACATACACACAAATGTGCATATATGCACTTAAAGAAAGACTGTATTACAATAGAGTGAAGCACAGTTTCTTTTCTTTTCTTTTTAAGAAAGGATCTTGGGGCCAGGGATTTAGCTCAGTGGTTCCACTACCTGCCTTGCAAGTGCAAGGTCCTGAGTTTGATCCTCCATACCAAAAAAAAAAAAAAAGGGTTGGGGGGATCTTAAAGTTTCAATCCCCCTGTATCATCCTCCTAGAGTCCTGGAATTATAGGCGTGGCCACCACAGCCAGTTTTGTTTTTTTGGGGCTTTTTTTTGTTTGTTTGTTTGTTTGTTTTGAGACAGGGTCTCATTATGTAGTTGAGACTGACCTGGAACTCACTATGTAGCTCAGGCTGGTCTTCAACTCACAGCGATCCTCCTGCCTCAGCCTTCTGAGTGCTGAGATCACAGGCGTGCACTGCCACGCCTGGCTAGATGCTATTTTTAAATGAAAAATGTACAATTTAATTTTTTTTGCTTTAGATACAATTTTAAAAAGTGAAGCACACCTAAAGAAACTGTTGAATTTTCAGGAGTTAAAGAAAATAGAGAAGTAGGGAAGGAAGGAAGGAAGGAAGGTAGGGGAGGAAGGAAAGGAAAGGCTGACATGAGGAAGTGAAGAGGGAAAGAAACAATGAGGGACTATAAAAAATAAAGTTGATGTCCATTTTTAAAACTGTGTATTTCATCTTCAAATAACAACTAATGTTTTCTGCTTTGGAAGATGAGAGCATTAGCTATTTCTCCCTCCCAATCTCCCACATTTCTCATCCTTTGTAGGTTTTCATTCATTATATTATTTTTATATTGTCCAGTTTATTTTTCACATGGTGCTACATAAAAATAACCTAATAGTTGTTCATGACTAAGCTAGATTTTATGGAGTCTGTGTTCACCACTAGCTTTATGTTTTCTTGGCTTTTGCATTCTGAATCATTTGTGTGATTTATCACTCAATTATCTGTATTTCATTGTCAAGCATTTTTTTCATTCTAAAAAAACCTCATTGATAAAAATTCTGAGATGTCCTAAATTTAATTAGATTTAATTACAAGAGGACAGAAATACAGGGCAAGATAAAGAAGGTTAATCAGTTAACAGCTATGGGCTGTTAGCTCTCTGTAACTGTGACAAAATACCTAAGTCAATCAGTTTACAAGGAAGAAAGGTTTATTGTGGCTCATGGTTTCAGAGGTTTCAGTGCCTGGGCCCCATTGCTTTGGGCCTGTGGTGGCATATCACGGTGGGAATGCAAGATGAAGAAGGCTTTTATCATACAGAAAACTTGGTCTGAAGAGTTTTGGTTTCATATCATGGTTTTGTATTTCCTGTGATGAATCATGTCTGAGAATATCATCCTGTTGATTCTGTACCTGAACAACATCTTACCTGGTGATGACAGTATTAGGTCACTATTGTTTTTTGTTTGAATTTTCTAGCTACTGTTCCTTTAACTTGAGGTCACGCAAGTTTTTCTTTTATAGGTAGTTATGTTTCATTCCCAAATGTCTAGAGAATTTTTTCCTTATCTTTTAAGATCGAGAGCTTACTCAAGAGATGTCTTAGGGAAAAATGTTTATCAAGATCACCTGGTACATTATGTTTTACTCTGCAGATGTAAGTTTTCTTTTTGGGGGGTACTGGGGATTGAACTTGGGTCCTTGTGCTTGCAAGGCAGGTGGGGGAACCACTGAGCTAAATCCCTGGCCCTGTAAGTTTTCTTTTTAATTCAGTGTTGCATATGCATTCCAGCATGATATATATTAATATGACTTCTTTCTATTTATTGGGTTCTTTGAACCTTTATTTATTTATCTTTGTCTTCCACATCTGGTAGATCCCCCTGTTGTCATCTTAATCTGCATTGGCTGAGATTATTTCCAGCCTTTCTCTGTATCATTCATTCTTTTATTAGTGTTGTATATTCTGATTCTTAGTCCTGATTTATGAATTCTATAATGATTTTGATTTGGGCCTCAAATGTGTCTTAATTCTGCATTATCCCTTTCTGTTTTATCTTTGAGCTTCTCTTATTGTGTTCATATTATAATTAAAATATCTATAATATGAAATAATTCTGAATAAATTTCCCTCTTTTCCTTGAGTTATTTTATATTTTTTGGTTGGTATCTTCCTTGCTTTTTTAGGCTGTAAGAACCTTTATCTCCTGGCTCACTCCAAGTGGAAATTGAATATTGTGCAGCTACTATGAGAAACAGTTTGGTTATACCTCGAAATCTCAAACATGAAGTTGCTAAAGGATCCAAGCAATGTTACTCCTAGCTACATACCCAAGAAAACTGAAAACACATGAAAATCTGTACATGAATATTCATTGCAGTATTATTCAAAGCAGCAAAAAACTAGAAACAATCTAGGTGTTCATTAATGAGTGGGTGTATAAATAAAATGTTGTTATCTATTCAGTGGAACTTTCTTCAGGCATAAAAAGGAAGGAAAGACTGGTGTGTGTTCAACAGGATGGATCTTAAAAACATTATATTATGTGAAAAAGGCAGGCCACAAAAGACTGCACGTAGTATGATTGCATTTGCGTGAAAAGAGCAGAAGCAGTCATACTTTGGTCCTTGACTGTTTTGAAACTCATGCAGTTTGGTACTTGACATGTTTTGATGCAAAAGTTTTGTCCTGGCACTTGTCCTTTGGTAATCCATGTGCAAGCTGACACTTGTCAGTGTCAATTGCCTGATGATTCACTTTCCAGTCAAAATGATTGGTTTGGGGCTCCTCCCGCTTCCTGGATCAATGAACAATGAGAATCAAGGCCAGGGATTTAGCTCAGGGGCACCATGCCTGCCTTGAAAGTGCAAGGTCCTGAGTTCGATCCCTGGTACCAGAAGAAAGCAAAAACAGCAGAGCAGCAGCAATGACAACAGTAACACAGTGAGAATCAAGGTGCCACTGTAGTAGGATTCTCTATATAATTGAAGGTGGCGCTGATGGGATTTGCTGACATGTTAATTATGAGATCTGAGAGGAACAAGAGTCAAGAACAGCTTTAAAGTAGTTGGCTAAATTCCTGGAAAGAATAAGATTGATCTACTTAACGAAATGAAGAAGAGGAGCAGGTTTGGGGGAAATACAAGAAGGCTGGTTTTGGACAGGTTGAATTTGAGATGTCATCAAGTGGAGCTGTTGAAGGTGTAATATAATAAAAATATATTTAGTTGTATCAGTATTACTGACACCTTCAAAACTTCTGGGACTTGATGGTGAGAGGAGCTTTGTTATGCTAAAAAGCTGACTTCAGGATCTGGGTTGGTCTCCAGAAAGCCAACCATGTGAGTAGTAGGCTGGACCTGTGGGCCCGTCTCACATCAGGACTCAGGAGGAAGCTAGAGATTGAATTCAGTCGCATAGCCTGATGACCAATAATCAGTGAACACAATGGACACTCTGGTTTAAAGGAACTTCGTGGTAGGGTGACGTGCTCTCGTTCCACAAAGCTGCCCTTTGTGCTTTCTCTGTGCTGCTGGGATAGGAAGTACAACACCTCTAGTGAGATCTGGCTTTCGTTGGTTTGCTTTTTTTGTAGTTCTAGGGATTGAACCCAGAGCCTTCCCACCGAGCTACCTAATAGCCCTTTTTAATTTTTTTATTTTGAGACAGGATCTCACTAAGCTTCTAAGTCACCCAGGCTGAGCTTGAATTTGAGCTGTTCTTGCCTTGGCTTCGCAGGGCAGTCATTTGATTGAATAATTGAAACTG